TGAGTCAGTAGCTCTTGTGCATCAAACATTGATTTATATTTTTGGCCAGTGTATAGAATTTTTCTTTGCCCTTGAGAGTTTCTGAGAAGCTTTTTACCCAGGAACGGTGATACTGATGTAGACGGCTTCTCCTCTGCTGTAGACTGTACTGACCTAAAGGTTCATCGACAATTTGGCAGTATAGATTCAATGAGTGCTTTGGTAAGCATAAGAGACGAGACTTCAATTCTGTGGCTTAACCAATCAGATCCCTTCTTTCTGTGCTTGTCTAAGTGTAGACACTTTTTGGCTTCAATTTTGTACAACGGAAGGGGATGGAGACATACTCAATAGTTGTATAATATAGTTCTTGAAGTATTTTTGAATTTGCATAGATTCCTTATTTGCAGCCTGCTTCTCCTAATGGAAGACCTTTGGACCCCTTCTGAGTCACCGTACACATGTGCTGAGCAGATGCCTCCCTGTCTCGTCCATCCCTCATTACCTACCCCCCCCCCCCCCCTCCTTTCCCCATGATGACATCTGCTTTCAGACTTGATGTATGCAGTCGTTTCTGACCATGAAAAATACATGTCAGACTTCACGCTTTCGTCCCCTCCATTGGTTCACGAGCCGTCATCCATTATAGCCGCCATGTCTCCCGATTCCACGGGGCGGTATTAAGTGGGATGAATATGAAATCCTTCCAAGAGCGTTTTGCGTGCACAGAAATGCATGATTAATGCGCTGCTCAGGCGTGGCCGGAGTGTTTGGGACATTGCTTTTCCTTTTGTTACTCACGGCTACCAAAACAATGACAAGGATGGCTTTTCACGCATTTTTCAACCCAGCGCCTGCATCTGAGAAGAGAACCTTTTTTATTAATCTTGCAGGACACACAAAAAGGAAGCCATGCAAGACGGCACACATGCACACAAACACACAGGAACCAAAGGCACTTAACTCCACCCACACACATCCTCATAGGTCCTTCGCCTTCATCCTATCATCGGCTCTTTTCATCTTCCTGCTAAGACACTTGTCCAAAAATATTCCTCGTCTTCATCCGATGCAAGTCTGTGCATTATTTTGAACACCTGGGATCAGTGCTTGCCATGTGTGTCAAAAGAAACAGTGCTATTCCCCGTGTGTGAATGTGAACATGTGTGTGCATGCCCGGGACCGAAAAGACAAAAGGGACTATGAAGCCAGAAGTAGGCTAGCATCCCCCAAAGTCCACATCTCCAACACTCTCAGGGAGACGCATGCACAATGACACTGTGGTGAATATTCCCACTAAAGCTCCCACAGCTGCAGAACAATTCACTGGCAACATCTGGTCGAGTCTGCTTATAGCAACACTGCTGTGCTGGGTGTCAAATTGTTCTTTTCTTTTTCTTTTTTTTTTTCTTCATAAAACTGTCAGAATTTTTTTTTTACAAGGGATTTCAACCACTTCATCTGTTGTTTAAACAAGCCTTAAATGCTCCAATGTTGTTCTAAAAACCAGGGCTGCTGGATGGTTTGTCAGTTTGATGTCACCAATTCGCGTGGGATCAATGAGTGATTGATTGTCCGAGTGTTTCCGACAAAGCGGCATGATTGATTTAAGGGACTGCGTGTAGGTTTTCTTTTTGTTCGTGCACGTTTCAGCTCATTTGTCAGAAATCATGCATGCATTGCTGCCTCTCAGAAATGGCTAAAACAGCTGTTCAGATAAAATACATGTTTTCTCGTATCATATTTCATATTTTCACACCACGTTGACATAAACTGAAGGCGATGGCAGCCCTATAGGTAAGAAAATCAAGCCACAAATCCAGAAAATGTTTGAAATAGTAGTCATGAACTAATTCTGAATATAGTCAATAACTTGTAAATGGAATAAAACATTGAGAAAAAATAATTTCCAACACAGCAATAGAAGCCTGGATCGAAGGAAAACTAAGCCCTCAAACTAGAAAAAGTGACTTGCTAATATTATTTTCAGTGTTTGGCGTATTTGCTAAAAATATTCCCTTGACCAAAATGGTTGTCGTAGGGTTTCCACAGGGGCCACATTTATTTAAATTCCCATCTTCTTGAAACCATTCACATCCATCCCCGATGACACTCCCTAATCGGCTGAGGCTGGTTGTCTTGGAGTTCCTGCTCATCCAGCCAAAGAGACCATCAATTTACATCTTTGTAATCCTAAAATGTTGTTGGCTTGAATGGTGTTTTGGGAATAGAAGATTTCCAGTGAGAGAACGGTGTGGACAAAAAAACATGAAAACATGTCTGACAGTGCGGCTAAGAATGAGAAATTCAGACTGAAGATTCACACGGACAGGTTGAGGGATGCTTACACGCCGTGTGATTGACACATCTGTTGTAGGCAGCACTTTAGACTCAATGCTAATCCAATAAAAGGTCAAGAGGTTAAAACAATGAGGACCAATGACACTGACCGCACAGAACCTATTTACTATTTATGGTTCTTTGCCCAGTTATATGCTTGTGTGTGTGTGTGTGTGTGTGTGTGTGTGTGTCTGGCTCCTTACAGTGTTTGGAATTGTTGTTGAGGGTATTTGAGGGCAACTACTATCTTAAAATTGTACACAAGAAATAGAATAGGAATTCACATTTCATTTTCTACACAGATTTAGTTTGTACTGTATGGTGCAAACAAGGATAACATTTTTCTTTTACCCGGCTGTGTTAGTGAGCAATCATCAGGTACGTGATGTCAAGCACAACACACACACACACACACACACACACACACACACACACACACACACACAATCTCTCTGTACAGTTAAAATCCCAGCTTGCTCATCAGATACGGAGCTGTGGAGGTTTATGGTGAGGAGTGAACATCAGTCCCTCCTGTCAATATATGCGCAGTCTGTACTCAGGTCAGCACAGAAAATATTGTCGGACAAATCTCCCATCCTCACCTCTGAGTAGGAGCTTTTACGATCTGGCAGATTATATGAAAGTTTCAAGGCCCCAATGCAACTGTTTCAAAAACTCACTTGTGCTTCGGTAAACACAAACATTGTGAAGAATGTTTCTTGGGGCTGTAGGGTTCGTGCAATATCATCAAAGTGTTCTATCATCAAATATACAGGGTATATATACTGTTGTGCCGTGTTATCCTGCCATATTGTGTCTCATCATATTTGATCATGTTATCAGGAGTTTGGGAAAATAAACTCCCTTGACACATGGTCTATGGTTCTGTGTTGTAGCAGTGGCCAAAAAGATTTAAACCAGTCATAATGGTTTCTTTAATGTCTTTGGAATAATAATGAAGGGTATTTTGAGGGATTTTTTTTTAAAGAATAAATACTATGTATGTCTAACCCTGCTGGTTTGATTGATTAAAATAAACATTGTGGTTAAATCGGATCAGTTAACTGTTTTTTTTTTTTTTTTTAATTTCTAATTTGTAAAAGAAGAGGAGACCTGTTCATGACATCACTGCCCCGCATTCACTACTGTATCAACCTTTAGCAGTTGTTAAGTCCCTCTGTCCCATTTTTTTTTTTTAGTTATTATACAACCAAGAAAACAAAAAAAAAAGTTCAGCTAAATAAGTTCCTCAAGGAAATCAGAAGTTAGTTAGACTTGCTGGATAAGGTTAGCACTCCATGGGACGCTACTTTCCATTCATGTTAGTCCAATAGCGGATTAGTCAGAGAGGTTCTCAAACTCTGTTTAATCCTTCTCACATTATTAAAAAGGAAGCCAGTGTTAACCGTCTGTCTCTCATGGCTCCAGTTTCAGTGTTGGCAAATGACCAAGCTGTTAAAAACTCTGAACAACTGGAAGTTTCAGCCGTCTGTTCTTGTTTGTTACTCCATGATGTCAATCAGAAAATGAGACTACATACAGAATCCCACTGTCCTGCAGAGAAGAAACAACCCAGAATGATTTCCCCCGGCTGGTTAAATGTCTGAGAAATGACTTTGGAGTTGAAGGGATATAATGAACAACACTGATATCTGACTAAGCGGGTGAACAGCAGCGAGAAAAAACAGTCATAACCCTAAAGAACACTAATATTAAGCAAACTGGATATATAGCATACTGCTGTCACCTGTCCTCTTTCTTTTGAGCATTAAGGCAAACTACAGATGCCATAAGTGGGCTTTCATTAGCATTGGATGATGAACCAAGTACAGCATAAAGATACTACAGCATAAAAAACAATTCAATTAGCCTCAAATCTCCCATTAATGGTTTTAGCCATGTCAAATTAACATTGTTACGGGCTATTGCCCCCCTCCCAATACTCCCTACATCTAAACCCTAGCTGATTGTTACCAACCAGCCCATCTGCACTCACTCACACACTTCACACACACACACACACAATCCACCCGACCACCACCAAAGAAGTCTCTAATCTGAATTTAAATTACTTCATTTAGCCTCTGAAACAATCCACAGACAGAAAAAGGGAAACTCTGCAAAACCAGAGTGGTTTCCATTTAAGAGAAAAGGGGGGGGGGGGGGGGGGGGTGGGATAGACTTAGCAACTTAATCTTAAGATCTTAATGCGTGAAATGATAAAAGAGGTCCTTTTTTTTCCCCCCTGCTCTTCTTGTTTTACTGAACATGTGCTACAAAGCTGAGGCAGTGTTAATGATTCTTTCTAAGTCATTTCTGTTCATTACCAACACCAGCAGAGGAAGAGAACGAGACGTAAGAGAGAGAGGGAAGGATCTCAAAATAGGTTTGAAAAAAACGAGAAACACACGAGAGTGCAAATAAGAAAAGTGGAGACAAAAGTTTCAGGGGAGTATTGAGAAGTGAAAAAAGTGCTAATTAGCGAGAGGAGAAAAGAAGACAAAAAGGCAGAAAAACTCAAAAGACTTCTGGATCCCAGAATGAGGCACTTTTATAGCTAAAGGATAGAATTCTGTAAGGCTTCAAAACAAATTCAAGAGGTATGTGTTGGTGCAAACACCCACACATTCACATAGACGCCAACCCAGACAAACACCAGCCCCCTAATGAGCTAAACTCACCCAGAGCGGCTGGTGCAAAGAGGCTGGCGAGGACAAGCAGGCGTGCGGTCCACATGGCCTCCTCCTCCTCTTACCGCCCGCTGCTGAAGGTCCCGGTTTAGGTCAGTCTTTAGCTGGCAAATGCCGGAATTGGGGTTCCACCTTTATGGCACGGCTCCCTCCACTGTGCCACGTTCAACACAAGGACACAAGTCCTGCTGCTCAGAACCTGGATGCAGTCCAGAATCTGTCAAAGAAATAAAAAAAGAAAGTTTAGTTAGCTTTAAGAAAACAGTTTTTTTCATTTAAAACTAAACTGTGTCTTTTTCCAGTAAGACACACAACAGATGGATCGACCATGGCTTCAGCATCCTTGTGAGCATTCCTTATGGCGTTGTGGGTTTTCGAGTTGTCATCGACTGACTGGGTGCAAGTTGCTCGATCTCCAGTCAGATCAACTCGCACCGGGTGTGACAGCGTGAAATCCATCATGTATTTTGGGATATTCTGTTGTTTGTTGCTCATCGATGTGTTAACTCCCCCACCTTAACAACAAATCACTCCTACGGAGACGCAAGGAGGGAGCGATGAAGCAACTTTTGGAAAACAAATGTGTGTGTGTGTGTGTGTGTGTGTGTGTGTATATTGAGTATGTATGCTCCAGACCTTGGGTGTATTCTGGCGAGGCCTTTTGGTAATTGACATCAGAAGCTCTGCTGTGGGTTTTTTTTCATTCCCTCTGAGTACGTGACATAACTTCACAATTTGAGATTTTGCACCTGTGAATATTTTAGAAAAGACTACTTTGCTCGAAAGGCTTTGATTCCAAAATACCAGACAAAAAAAAACATCGCCTGATCAGATGCACTTTAATCAGCCCAAAGAGACAAAGCTAACTTTGACCTCCACAAATTTCTCTGGAACGCCGTCACATAGCCTTTAAAAATGAATATGGGTGACAAGACAAATCCCCAGAAGTGAAGCTAAAACATCTAGATCACCCCCAGGTGAGTGAGCTGTCGTACAGGTTACAAAGCCCACCTCCTCCATGTTAACAGATGGGAGATAACTATAAAATTAAAAAAAACAGATCAAACCATTTTTTTCTTGAACACAGTTTCTGTCAGGTTCCTATCATGAAGATTTTTGTCAAAGTGTTTTCTGATGAGCCTTAGCCGTTATTAGTTCCTGCAGTGTTATACAAACAAAGTACATGAGGATGTAACTTGCACTTAAATTAACTTTAAGATTTTGACAATCTTTTTTTCAAGCCTTTTCTTTAGGCTTTTATTTAGAGGACAGAGTAGAGTGGATAGAGTCAGAAACAGGGAGAGAGTGGGGGATGACATGCGGTAAATGGCCAAGGGAGGGAATCTGACATTGCCGCTTCAAGGGCTAATACCTGTGTACATGGGAAGCATGATTTAACCACTGAGCCTTACCATGTTTTTTTACTCGATTAAACGTGTTTTGGGTGGCGGAAAAGATGAGACACTAACACCGACACATTTCTCTTGCACATACTCTGGCTACCAATGACATCACCAGCGCCAAGACGTCTGAGCCCACTTATATGTATATTTTGGCTTCATAATGGAAAGAGGTGGGGACTCAATGTCCATCTTTATACACAATGTGACATTACCGCTACGCACCAGACACTGAGTGAAGTTATTGCCAAATATTACGAGACAGCATACTTGGATTAGAATTGTAAAATGTGATTTAATGGAGTCGGAGTGGATATTTAAACAATGGCACACAAATTTCAAACCCAAAACTCTGAACTAAAATAAATACACGGGGGGGAAAAACCAGTTAAATGAGGATACATGTATTTTCAATCTATATTCTGATGAGATTATCTCCCATCAAGCCCATATCATGCTATTAAGGTTAAGTCCGCTTTAATGATTAGGCAATCCAAGCCCCTCTGTTATCCACTATCAGCCATGATCTGCCGCAGAAATATAATCTCTGCAAAATGATACAAGCCACAGAGTGCACACACACACACACAATGCCGCCATCCCTCTACACGCGCATTATCCCTTGCACATTAAGCATTCTATGCTGCATTTAATATTGCTGGGAGATAATTCCATTGTGGGATGCTGGGAAATCTGGTTACAAAAGGTCAAAACTAGCACGCTGCATCAAAGGACAAGGCACTGGGGAGGTTGACTGACATTACATTTTAAATACACCTCTTACAGACATCCGTAATGGAGTTATGCTATGACTTCTTTCAGTCTCAAAATCTAGCTCCTAATCGAAAAAAAAAAATCTTCCATTAGAGTAATCTGATCTTTTGGAGCAATTATTTATAGGTTTGAGAATGGCATGTCTCTGCATAAACAGACCATTTGTGTGATATTAAGAGGTTAAAAGTCATCTTTCTCATCCGCAAAGTCTTAGGAGAGAGGAGCAAAAAAAACTAGAAGTCCAACAACTCTTCTGAACCACATCTGCTGTACCGTTGACTTCAATTCTTTTTATACATACACATGATGACAGGGCTTTTAAGACATTAAAATAGCAGTGTGATGGATTCTTTTTTGATCAAAGAAAATATCCTTGTGAGTAAACAGCGCTTTTAATAAAACGCCGTGACAGCTGCCGGAGAGCGAAATTAAATATGACATCAAATCAGATAGTGTGACTCCCTTGACAGGGAAAAAAAAACACATTATTCCTGGAATAATCGCATTCAAATTCACTGTCCAAGCGGCAAATTGGACTTGAAGTTTATACTGTAGGACAACTTCTAAATTGGTGGCAGAGAAAAAAAGAGACAAAAAAGGGAGGCAGGGGAACGACAACATGTTAAAATATCTGGCTTATTCTGCAGGTTTTTGCACCTGAAAAAAAGAAATCAAGAGAAATAAAGTACCAAAAGGTAGCAGTTGTTTTTTACAGGGAAAGACAATGACAATGTGTAGCTTTCTGTGTGTATTTGTGTGTGTGTGTGTTTGAGTGAGACTGTACGCGCCGTATCTCACAGCACAGCCGATAAAGCAGGGACTACTTGCACAGGTGTTAAAATAAAATGAAAAACACTTCGCTATCAAAGTTGTTAATTTGTTCTCGAAAGAAAGAAAGAAAGAAAGAAAGAAAGAAAGAAAAAAAAAACCTGTGGGCTTAGGTACATGAAGTGCTATCAACCGCCAAAACAACACATCATAAAATACATATTTATGAGGAGGGCTTGGACCAAGTTCAATGTAAGAAAAATGAGAAGACAAAAAAGACAGAGCAGAAGTCCAGCATTGCCAACTTGTCTTGTATTCCAGAAGGAGCTTTATGATACATTACAGTGCTGACGTTTCAAGGGTACTTGTTCTGAGGGGGATTCTGTATAACTCCCTTAGATAAGCCGGCCAACATTTAGCAGGGCCGAGCGGCGACCGCAGCTTCTGTTCTCTGCCACATCAAGGAGACTTCTTCCTCACCGCCTTGCCGTCTCCTTGCGGAGCTACTTTTTCTAATCTGCGATGATGTTGTTTTTGTTATTTCAGCGACGGTGCGAGTGCCAACGGGGCCCCAAGATGAAACCTGACAGATTGAATGAATTGACTTTTCTATCTAGTTAAAGCAAAACAGAGACGGGTGATACCACAGTGGTTATCACGGGGGGGGGAATATGTAGTCTCACAGCAATAATCTGACTTGGTGAAAAGACAAATGAGAGGCCAAGAGCGTTAAGGGAAACCAAAACAAATGAGCTTGATTTAAGGATCCAGAAATAAGCCTGTACATGATGAAATTTACATTGATTCATTAATCATGTGTGATGGAAAATGACAAAAACACTTTTCTGGAAAAGGTGTCAAGGATGCTCGTGTTGATATGATTTTGGTGGTAAAAGCTATGAAAGAAGATGTTGACGTGCGACAAAATACCATCCGCTACCATGGCATCGATAACACTCCTCAGTCTCCTGTCGTTGGGTGGGAGTCAAATGTGTGATGTTGCAATTAGGCAGTTTGTGTGACTGTGATTTGTCGATGACACAACACCTGAAATAGATCAGTTCTAGCGAGGGCAAGCTAAAAATCTAAATAAATGCGTCTTGGTATTAAGTGCGTTACTTTCAATTTCAGTTCATTAAAAACATTTTTTTTTTTAAGCGATAGGTAAACTTTTATGACTGAAAATTGGACCTTGTTTCCTTTTCTTTCTCTGATGTTCAAGTGTCTGCCAGCAGCACAACACAGTATGCCATTCGCTTTCCATGCTATTTGCACATGCTTTTCATATTTAAATTCACAACTACCAATTTGCATCGAAGGTCACTGTCACTCTGAGCAGCATGGCAGAACTCTTCTCTGTAGCATACACGCTAATGCAAAGGAACAAAAAGGTTCATTCGGAAACTCTGTGAGTATTGAAAGGCATTATTATTTGTCCTTTCACTTTATAACTGCCTTCGATGAAATGTCAACTACAGTATGATGCATGAATCTGTAGGCAGCATGCTTTTTTTTAAATTTTTCTTATGAAATTAACTAGTGCAGCACATGGACTATACATTATAGGGTAAGAAGCCTGAGTGAAGTCACCCATTGGTTACTGAAGGGTGCTTCAGAAGCCTGTTGGTGGCGGTCACCATGCTGGCTCAAGCAGCATTTTTTAAGTTTCTGATCAAATTGAAAAGACATGTTCTCTTCATACATGTGTGCGTATTTAAATGGCACCTGAAATATACCTGGATCAATCTGAAAATAGTTTTGAATTAACCAGAAATATCTTCCGCACTTCAGCGCCGTCATCTCCGTTACCCTGAATGTAAAGAAAGCCATCACACAGATGCACATCACTACCTGGAGGGCATTTCTCCATCTGTCACATCCTGACCTGAGGAAACCAAAGATGATTTCCATTAATCAGGACTCGTTCCATACAATGCTTCTGCAACAAAGTGAAACTTGATCCTGTGTGTTATCTGATGGGGGCACGCTAAGTATGATGTTACTAGTCACGCCTGCTTGAAGCCCTCCCACATAACAATATGTAATGAAGTGTGATCGTGTTGCCGGGTTGAGTACCACGTCTTACATTTTCAACATGTTCCATGTCCAGATGCTTATCACACCAGCACGGAGGACTGGAGGTAATTTTCATGAGACAGACAAGTGTTCATGCAAATGGAGCACCTCATATATAAAGATGAATATTAATCACGCACGCTGTCTGCATACGGTTTGATTGATGAGCACTCACTCGGAAATCTTAAGAGATGAGCTG